TCATGCCTTTTGTTTAAGGTGGTCTAGTGGTCAACTTCTGTTTTTAGGGAAAATACTCTCCTGTCTCAGCTCACTGCTTGAATACACACTCCACTGTTTTCTCTGGTAAGCCCTTCAAAGCAGAGAAATCCAGTTCTTTATTGTGAACTTACACATGAGAGATAGCGCAAGGGACAGCAAGACATTTTTGTCATATTGCCAGTGACTAATCTCTGATACTGTCCTCTGGATCTCATAGGAAGACTGAACTCTACTAAAGGTTGAGTAGACTGCAGCATATGGTAATTGACTGACACTTGTGTAAGAAACACTAGATTTATATTCTTTCTGTTGAAATCATGTTTAAAATAGTGCTAGAAAATGATTGTGTCAGCCTTCCCCCTTTTCAAAGAAGTGTTAAAAACAATCATTATCTAGGCCAGAAGACTTAACTTTATTATTTGTACTCTCCAGATACTCAGATTAAGCAGTAACCATCATTTAAAATGCTGCATGAAACTAGTTTTCATCCTTATTCCAAGCATTTTTTCCTGGCAGATTTTCCAAAGGGAAATGAGAATATTGGCTTTTCCTTCTGTCTGATAACTTTTGACAAGGAGTTTGTGTACATTATTTAAGGCACAGATTCACTTTTGGAAATTCTGTCAAAGTAGGCAGCTCTTTAGTGATTATTGACTGACAGTTACTCTCAAAAGAAGTTCACAAAATACATTTATGTCTTCTATGAGCATAAAATACTGAATCAAAATTTTACACCCTCAGATTTAATGCATCTAACAAACTTGTTCTTCTTGCTTAAAAATAAAAAGATTTTTATGTAGATGAATAGTGACTTAATGAAATAGGTAATGTCAAGTTAGGTTATGCAGATTATATAGATCTGATGTAAACATAATTCTTATGGATTTTCTATCCTTCGCGATTAAAGGCAATTCTGTCATTTGCCATTTTAGTCAGCAATCCTAATTATCATTAAATATAATTTTTTTTCAGTAAATGGATATGCTCTCTATACATATACCTCTTTGTGTTTTACATTTAACAAGAAAAGAATTAATACTTGTATTGATTTCTTTAAAACCAGTCATATTTACATACCATTATATTTGTGTCAATGGGTGTGGGCTAGACCAGTGCCTAGAAAACTTTAGTTTGCTTAAGAGTCACTTGAAGAGCTTATTTAAATAGAGATTCCTGGGCTGCACTCTTAGAGTTTCTGATTCAGTAGCCTTAGGGTGGGCATGAGTATTTGCAGTTCTAACAAACTCTCAAGTGTTGCTGATTCTGTCACATTTTGACCCTTACTCTGAATAGCACTGAACTAAACAACATAGGAGAATCAGCTATGCAACACAGAAAGAGAAGCAAAATAGATGGACTAGATAAAGATTATAGTATCTACTTGTAAGGGGTTGAATGGTAGCCCCCAAAAGTCCACCAGGAACCTCAAAATGTGACCTTATTTGAAATAAGGGTCTTTGCAGATGTAATTAAGGTAAGAATTTTGAGATGAGCTCATCCTGGGTTAGGTTCAATGACAAGTGTCCAGACTTCTATCCTACAGAATTGTAAGATGATAAATTTTGGGTGCTTTACCAAGTTTGTGGTAATTTGTCATGGAGCCTTAGGAAGCTAATATTCTACCAAAGTCAACCATACCAAAGTGCCAAGTTTCCTCTGTCATAGCTCTAAGGAAGAAGGATAGAATTCTGACACTGGCCCAGTGGACTGTTACACTAGTTAAACAGTGATTGAACATCAACTAATTGCCAAGCACTGTTAGATAATTTCTGGCATGTTATTTAATTTAATTTTCCCCAAATGCTTTAAGGTAGTTATTTGTTTTTTAGCATTATTTAACAAAAGAAGACCTTGAAATGCAGAATGGTCGTTCAGTCAGAAAATATTTATTGTGTCTACTTTATATCAGGCTCTTGCTAGATATTAGAGTGGTCAGTGACTTACCAAAAGTGATACAGCTGGTAAGTGCCAGAGTTTGCATTCAAATCGTGATCCTCTCATTCCAAATTTGGTCCTCTCATTCCAAATTTGGTGCTTTCATTCCAAATTTGGACCATCAGGTCATACTCTGTCTACACCTTAGAGCAGGAAAGCACAGGGCATTTTGGCAAATACTGACTAGTTCATTTTGGCTGTTATAGAATATTAAAGTAGAAAAGGAATTTATTATCTCCAACACAAATCTCCCTGATTTATGGTGGCTATTTAACAGTATTTCTTTCTATTAATACCTATAAAGTAGTTTGCACTTTGTTACCTTAATCTTATTTCCCCTTGTAGTAACTCTTTCACTTCATACTCAAATATGCAGATAATTTAAGCTGATCTTTAATAACAAGATAGAAATAATAGCTCTACATTGTCTTTGGAGATGTAGATCAATGATTTAGACAACAATATTTCTATATTTTTTTCACCTTATTTATTTTTGTATATATATAAATAATAGTTCTGGAAAAAATATTTGACTACCTTGAGGTTGAAGATCACAAAAAGAAGACCACTTAGTCTTTAACATCATAATAATATGAATTCCCTGAGTGTTTCGTACAAACTTCTCTTGAATGATTATTAAGGTATTTAAGCTGTTTAATAATGCTTTGAGAGTTATTAAATTCAACCTTCATCTCATTATAGTTAATGCTTTAGAAAGTACAATGTGAATGGCACTCTGCTAGCTGTTAAACATTTAGTATGTTAAAAGAAATTCTTCCTACCCTTGCAGTTGAGATGCTTGATTCAAGAACAGTAAAATCAAGATCAGTGAAACTGTGCAAGAATTAGACAAAATGGGCTAAGAAATTGCTCACTTTAGCAGGTTAGAGTGCAAAGACAAGAAATAAAAGAAGCCAACAAACATGTTGAGGGGAAAGTTGCACTGAGGTTCTGTCTTAGAAGCTGAGGGGAAATTGTATAAATTTGTTAAATGCCTAAGTCAACAATGATAACAGTATAGAATGATAGTAACACTGATACCATTTTTTCCTTGTGATGATATTTGTGTTTATCCTATCTTTCTACTAACATTTGTCCATTAATTTATTCCACAAATACTTCATGTGCATCTGCAGCATGCAAGGTATAGCATGGGGACAAAATGTATTACCCAGTGAGCAGATACATCTCATATACAAATAACCAAAATGTGAGACACTAACGCTGATCTAAATGACATTGATCATAACGCTCATCACAGGAAGATTCATGGGAGAATGTGGATTCTTCTGTGTCTGTGAATTGGTTACAAATTTTATTCAGCTATCTTTTGGGTTTTGATTCCTTATTTTATTGTATTTTTGTCAGTGAATGTGATCTGTAAAATGGAGATTATTTTTATATTTTTGAGACTTCCTTTACGACCCAGTAGGTGGTCAAATTTTTAAATGTTTCAGGCTTAAAAACAATATGTATTCTTTAATTATTCAGTGCCAGGTTTGATATGTGTTTATTAGATTAAACTTATTTGTATTGTCAAACTCTCCTATTTCTTTGCTAATTTTTGTGTTTGCTTTGTAATTTTTTTATGAGAAGTAAATTAAAATATCCCATTTGAACTATGGATTCCTCAGTTTCTACTTGTAATTCTTTCTGTTCTCACTCTGTATATTTTAAGGCTATGATTTGAGATATATCCAGATTCAAGTCTATTATACTTGCTGGGTGGATTGTTTCTTTTAGGATTAAGTAATAATCCTTTTTATCTCTGATTATGCTTTTTGCTTTAACATCCAGTTTTTTCTAACAATAGTATTGCTACATCGGGTTCCTTTTGTTAATAGTTATTGCCAAATTGTATTCGATCTCCTTACTTTCCATTTTTTCATGTCACTAAGTCTTTTTAAAAATTATACCTTTACTGAGATATAATTTATTCATTCTCTTAAAGTGTACAATTCAATGGTTTTTAAATGTAATCACAGTTATGCAACCAATACCACTATCTAATTTTAGAACATTTTTCATCATCTCAAAAGAAAGCCTCATACTCATTAGGAGTCACTGCCCATTTCCCACCTCCTCCCAGTCCCTGGCAACCACTAATCTACTTCTGTCTCTATGGATTTGCCTTTTGTGGACATTTCAGATAAAGGGAATAATCATACAACAAGTGGCCTTTTGTGTCTGACTTTTTTTCACTTTTCACTTAGCATAATGGATTCAGATTTCATCTATGTGGTAGCATGTATCAATACTTATTATTTTTAAAGTCTGAATAATATTGCATTGTATGGATATACCACGTTATCTATCCATCGATGGACATTTAGGTTGTTTATACTTTTTGGCTATTATGAATAATGCTTTTATGAACATTCATATACAGTTTCTTGTGTGGATATATGTTTTAATTTCTCTTGGGTATATACCCAGGAGTGGAATTGCTGGTTCATAGGGTAACTCTACGTTTAATGTTTTGAGGAACTATCAAACTGTATTCCAAAGTGGCTGCACTATTTCACCTTCCCACCAGCAATGTATGATGGTTTCAGTTTCTCCACATCCTTTGTCTTGTCTTTGGTTAGACAATAAAATCCCAGTCGCAAGCCCTTTTGGCCCTATCCTGGTACAAATTCCTTGTGGGCCTCCATCATGTCAGTTCCCACTTACATAGCTTTGGATTACACATGTTTCTGGCATCTGAATATTTCTCTTTTTTTCTTTAAATCTCATATATGTATTAAAACTTAAAAGTTGTTTTACTTCGTATTTTTATGTGTCTGTGAAGGTGAGGAACAGGAGTGAATATAGGGGATAAGTATTCATATTGGATCAGTTTATTAGTCCTGGAAGTTGAGCAGATCAATGCAATTGCAGTGACTGTGAAATGGTTGATTTAGAGTTACAGGTATTGTTTAGGGCTATGAACTAGAGTTTTTCTTCTGGGCTAAATTACTTGGACCATACAGGACCCATTATTATACTGAGCTCATCCAGTCCCATATGAACTAACTCATCTTTTTGCTGTTGTTATTTTACAGATGCAAGTTTCCAAAAATAAAACTGAAAAGAAAAAGCCAAAATTTAGAAAGAGGGAAAGGTATGTTTTTTAAAATTAAAAAGTATTAGGATAAAATGGAAATGTAGATATATATTGGGTTTAATTATTATATGACATTTTCCCCTGATACTTGATTCTGTTTCTCTAGGAAACATTGTGTTTAAAATTTTCTAGAAGAATTAATAAAATGATAAGTAGGAGTCTTAGAAATGTGGAGAAAGTTTTATGTTTATACAAATATGAACCAAAACTTTCAAAGATTAATATCATGTGAGCAACCAGATGAGAAGCAGATTTTTAGTTTAAAAATAGGTAATGCAAACCAGAAACAGACCTTTATAATGAACTAATAAGCCACTGATGGTAAGCTTTAGTGTTTATCATTGAATCCTCCATACAGTGTATTTATTTACTTTTTTGATGAATGTTAATCAATGCTGTGTTAAAAGGACTCCTACTCAATGACAGAGACTGATCCTAATATGATAGTCCTTCTCTTCTTCTTTGTCCTTTTTCAGAAGTTGAATAATTAAATTTTTAAAAAGGGCTTTTACTTTCTCATCTCAGTTATACTTCACAGTAACCCCATCAAATAGGTAATAGATAATCGTAATTATCTCCGTTTAAAAGACGCAGAATTTTTGGCCTCGAGGAGTTAAGTGGCTTTCTCAAGATCTTATGCTTAGAGAAAATGCATTTGAACAAATGTTTTCTGACTCTGAATCAGCAACATAGTGTAGTGGAAAAAGCATGAATTTTGCAGTCTGACAGAATTTAGTTCTATTGTGCTTAACCATTTACCCATGTTGTTAAATTTCTCAATTTCTCAGAGCCTCAGTTTCTTTATGAAATAAGAGTAACGATTACTTAGGTTTTGGGGGGATGGATTACATGAAAAAGCCTATGAAGGTGCTTGGTAGATCGTTAGTGCTTTTCACCTGGTGAGAGCTCAAATCAATCTTGTTCCCCTTTGGTTTTTCCCTGTGTCATGCTGCCTTATGTATAAAACAACCAAGAAAAAGTACCTCAAGATAAAGAAATATATATTTATAACTTACATTTACCAATTAATACATACATGAGTGGTCACTTAAATATGTTATTGATCTTTTGAAACTAAATCTGTCAAATTCTTTTTCTAGGAAAGCTATTTTAAAATGCTCTTTTGAAAATGTTTGTTCAGATGATGCCTTATCAAAGGAAAACATGGGTATGTGAAGGCCTGTCCTGCTCTTAGTTCTTTTACCTATATTTAATTCTACCAAATGTAGTTATAGTCCTTTGAAGAAAAAAAACATGATGTACATATATACAGATAAATATGAGAAATATTAGTGAGTCAGTTTTGGTGTTGATTTATATACTAGGGCTTTTCAATTGTCTTTAGGTTTCTATTCCCTTCAATTAAATTTTCTCTGGCTTTGTCCTGTACTTAATTTTTTTAAATAAAGCACTAGCAGTTGTGGGAGGAAATACCAGCATCTGTACATTTCAACCCAGACCTCTCCATTCCAAATTTACTGTGGTCCTAGGGGTACCAAAGGGAGAGAAAGAAGAAAAGCAGCAGCCTAGGGCTTCCAGCTGACTTAATTGCCATTGGTATTAGAAAACAGTGGGGTGAATGTGGAACACAGGGAGAAAGTTTTAGTTTTCAAGAGCCCTGTACTCTTCCTGCATTTTCATTAGTCTTGAAAAGCAGGCAAGTGCTTATTTGCAACATGGAACTTTGGCAGCCATGCAAAGAGGTTTCAAAGCCCATTAATCCCCAAGAAGTTATCCCTGCCATACTCTCTCTCCCTTGTAGCCACCCCCAGATCCTATAGCACTGTGATTCAATTGGCTAAATAAGCCATTCATTTATAGTCTCATTAAAAGAAAGGAAAACAGGCAGAGAAAGGACTGAGTAGTTATTTCAAAATAATAGTAATCCTTTTCTTCTTCTCCTAAACCAATACAAAATTCTGTTGTTTCTGTCTTTTCTTAAACCTATTCTGCTGCTGTTTTCCTGCTAATTAAGGTGGCTTTTCTTGGCTATTTTTTCTCTTTGCCTCACATGATCAGTTCAAATATTCCTGTAGAAACACAAAGTTAGTTTATCCCTGGACTGAGTTCCTACTAGGAGACCCTGGCACTGCAGCTGAGGTTTCCAATGCTGGGATCCTTTTCTCTTCCAACTTGCACAGGATACTACAGAAGGAATCCATTGACTGGAAAAGACTCTTCCGTGTAAATAAGTGAAAACATCTCAGTAGTTATCCATGTAAAGGGAAGCCCTTTCAGGAGTCTCATATTCTGTATGGCTCAAAAATCTCAATAGTTAATTGTTAAAGTAGTTAACCCGATCTATGTTTTACTCCTTCATCCCATTTTGAACAACTGAAGTGGAAACGTCTAGTCTACTATGTTCTTTGCAAGAGCTGACTTCCTAAAAGAGTGGTTCTTCTTCAATGGTTTAACCCTCCTCAAATTTTTTACTCCCTACTCGTATTTCTGTGGATCCCTTGATCAAGCCTCTGATATCTCTCATTTCTTCTAAGCTTAAAGTAGGACCAGTCCTAGATCAAGTGATAGAGGAAATTTATAGCATCTTCTTCTTGACTCTGCTCCACTTTTTGGATCCTCTTTCCTACACTCACAGGTGCTAAACTCTCCCATTAGTCTACTGCCCTAGATTTGCTGTTCCTTTATGGGTTTTAAGCTCTACTGACTGCTTCTCTGTCTCCCTCAATTAGAGATCAAAGGAAGAGCTAATTGAGTGCAGCTGCTTTACCTCCCCAAGTATCATTTTCTTTATCTGTAATAAAGAGATGCAGTAGAAACTCTCTTATCCAACAAGGAGAGGACTGTTTCTGCAAATTATTGGAAAAAGTTCAGGAATCATTAAATCATTTAAACTGTGCACCATGGCTATATAAAGATTTAAACTAAGAAATAACTTTTTTTGGACTATATCTGCATTTTTTGGAAAACTGCTACCAGGAAGATCATGTATTATGTTTGTTTTGTCCCTATAACATTTTTTTGCAGTGTTGAGGGACAAGAAAATTCATCTATGATGATGAAATAATAATAGCAATAATAAGGATGATGTCTAACACCTATAACAATTACTACGTGTCCTCATTATTCTAAACACTTTATATGTATTAGTTTATTTAACCCTGACAAGATCTAAATGAGGTAGATATTATATCTCCCATTGTATCGGTGGGGAAACTGAGTCACTTAAGAGGTTATAGACTTTTCTAAAGTCACATAGCTTCTTAAAATCAAAGTGTGCAGCTATTTCCTTGATTGCTTTGAGTACCAGGAATCTTAAAACTAAGTTTATGGGGTTTTTGGTACAGCACTGGTAGTTGGCCTAAGCATTTTTAAATGAATTGATTTGGGTTTTTTTTTTATTCTTTGGGCTTTGTCATTTGCTTTCTTATATCACTGTTTTCTGTTGATAAATACCTCATTTCTTTTGGGGAAGCAGACAGTCTCTAAAAATTTGAATAAAAAGATTGACATATTACCCAGAACCAAATCTGTTAACATTCATTACTAAATTAGCGATGGATGTGTTCATCAGCCATCTGAGACAGGTAAGCTTAAGAGGGTGGTTAATATAAGAAAGGACTGGATCGTGGGGTGAGCCCTAGAGGGAACGTGAAGGCCTTGGGGCCAGGGTCTGGGAGGTAGAAGGGATGACAGAGAGAAAGGGGATATCTCAATACTCAAGACAAACTTTGCCCACCTGTTCTTGGTTTGGGGTTACCTTTAACCTCTAGGCTAAAAAGCAGGGTTGGCTTTCATGCCCCTTTCCTAAAAAGCACCATGCCTCCTATTTCTATTTGTCTCTCCAGGAATAGTGCTCTCTCCTTCATTACATTTCAACCTGTGTTTTACTCATCCTTACATTTGAATTGTAAGCACACAGAGAAGCCTTTGTGGTTCCTTAAAAACAAAACAGAACCAAGTATTTTTACCTCCTCCTCTCTCTCCTCCTCTATTAGAATGCCTCCAGAATTTCAACATTGAAATGGCCCTGCAAATTTGTTTAATAGGATTTTTTTAGTGCCAGCTTTGGGGTAACCCAACCAGTAGCCTCTTACATAAGAAAAGAAACAGCTTCCTTAAACATTTAATAAAGAAGTAGAAATTAAACTCCATAAATATACATTTGAAAGCTTTTAAAATGGTGATTCATTTATTGAGACAAACAGTAAGTTATTTCTTATCAGGAATGGAAAAACAGCACTGATTTATTTTACGCAAATTCATTTTTAAAAGCCACATATGGACTTCAGAATAGGAGATACTTTTTTCTTTCTTTCTTTCTTTTTTTTTTCTTTCTCTGAGTGATATAGCAGCTGTAATGCTACCACTTTACTCTCAACAAATTGAAACAAGTCAGGGAAACTACAGGATAATCGGTATTGATAGAAGATGATTGGTCTTGCAATCAGCAAAGGCATCCATTCTGTTCATTCTGTCTCTATCTTTGGAAGATATCGTTGACCAATTTTGATAACCCAGTTTGTAGATTACGGTAACTGCTGTTTGTTGAAAATTATTTTTGAACTCTATCAGTTTAATCTAGGAAAACCTATTTAGAAAAGCAAACCTCCCATTGCTCTGGAAACAGAATTTGACATCAGTCAAGTTGGTGTTGTGAACTCTGGTTGATTTATGAAGTTATCCATTACTTTGTCTACTCTTTGATCAAAAAGCAGTATACATATTTTTTCAGATCATTTGAAAACGGAGAGCCTACAATGCCATTCAGCAATGACATTCATTGTCATAAATTGTATTTTAGCCTAGCCTTAGAAATATAAAGATGTTTGTGTGCCATTTTTCCTTTACAGCATAGCTCAAAATCCATCTTCTCAACAGTGCATTAAATGTCAGTATCAATTTCCATTGACTCAGAATGTAAAGTAGGGAAACACAGCATCTATGAGTGGGACTGGGGAATCCATGTTGAGATAACCACAAGTAGTTGTCTGTTAAGCGTCAGGTTAATAAGTAAGAAATATGTCATAAAGAGAGCTTAATTTCATTAACAAAATTGCTTCAATAAAAATGTACATTCCTTTAGAAAATTCTGATTCAGTAGACATGGGGTCACATTCATATTTTTTAATAAACTCTCCAAGGTGATTCTTATGCCCACCAAATTTTGAATACCGTTGGTCTAGAATGTAATAGTTCTTACTCTGTGTTCTTAGGCTTTAGCAATTACCCTGGAGCACAGAGCTATGTGGATACTAGTAACATGTCAATTATAGTTTTTGTTTGTGTATTTTGTTTTTAAACATAGGAACTGGTTCTAGGGTGTTGAATGGCTTATCAGAAAGCTGTTTTCAAACTGTTTTGAAAGAAGTTTTCCATGGAGAAAGCCTAAGATTGGTTGGGAAGAGATGACGGCAAGGAAGGCTCATTAGTCTATGCCTGTTCTCTTGAGTCCCTGGCTCTTAGCAGGCACACAGTAAATATTTGTTGATTGAATATAAAAGTGCTTGGGGCAAGAAATAAGTATTGAGGAAAATTATTTTTGTAGGGACCAGCCTGGTGGCACAGTGATTAAGTTCTCACCTTCCACTTTGGCAGCCCAGGGTTCTCCAGTTCGGATCCTAGGTGTGGACCTCTGCACTGCTTGTCAAGCCAGCCTGTGGCAGGCGTCCCACATATAAAGTAGAGGAAGATAGGCATGGATGTTAGCTCAGGGCCAGTCTTCCTCAGCAAAAAGAGGAGGATTGGTGGCCGATGTTAGCTCAGGGCTAATCTTCCTCAAAAAAAAACCAACTTATTTTTGTAGACAAAACTGTAATGTGAAAAATATAAACTAAAAATTGTTTTTCTAGTACTGTAGTGACAACCAAGAAAGGGAAACTATTTTATAACCTCCCATGACTTTATTTAACACTATGATTTAAGAAATGTTTTAGCAGAATTTTAAAATTTCCTTCTTATGAGTAATAGATAAGAGAAAATTATCAACAAAGAAGGTGATAATAAGATATCGAGTCTTTTGAACTGGAGTAAAGGAAACTGCATAAAACTTTTCACATTAATAATCTGTTTTTTACCTTACAACATGCTTAGTTTACAAGGATACCTGTGGGTGTGTTCACACACACATAAATGGATGTATATAGCATTTGTACTTTTCCTAAACATTATTAATCAGAAAAATTTTAAATATGTTCAACAGTTAGATTC